GGTCAATTTGAGAGATATCCAGAAGGGGGGTGCTCCTAGAATGTTGTGGGGAATGAGGGAGAGTTAGGAATAGGGGGTGCATTTGGGGTTTCTGGGCTGTGCAGTTCACAACATGGACAAATCTGACATCAGCAGCCCTGGAGGAGAATGGGGCTAAAGGGGAGGGAGATAATTAGTTCACTTCTGTGTGCTGGTTTGAGCTGTCTGTGGTATGTGAAAATAAAGCTTTTTGTCAAGAAGCTTTATGTCACCCATACATTCGAGAGAAGGATTTCATATCCAGACATCAATCTTTTCCCCTCCCATCACAGTCTGCTGTAAAAGATTGACTAACTCACATCTATTTCAAATACTGTGCTGGTCGGGAAAGCACATGGAAATTTTATCTACAATGAAGTAGTCAAAGAATCTATGAAGCCAGAAATAACTTAGGAAGCTTTCTGCCATTCTTTAAAACCTGTCATTTTCTGTATAACTGGAACTGTAAACTGATGTTTCTGGAGCATTGGGGAAATGAGGTATCCTCCTCCCTCCACCAAATGAATTTTTCCAACAAATTGGAGTTACAAACTCAGCCAGTCCCTGTACAAAGTAAATGCAAGAATGGAAACTAACTTTGCTAAAAAGAAAAAAGAAAAAAAAAATGTCCTCCAAAGCCAGTTTTTGAAGATTATAGGTAGGGAAATGCATTCTTGTGATTTGGGACTAGAAGCCCATGTTTGCTGGATTTAGGGAGGTGATTACAAATTCACATACACATACTACATGATTAATAAAAAATTTTATTGTAAATTATAAATGCTCTAAACATTTGAAAAGCTAGTTTTCCAATAGTGGATGGTTCAGAGTTATTCCTATGAATATCAGTTGTTAAATTCTACTCTAAATATGGCAAATATGGTTCTACTATATGTACTGTGTTTGTGCAAGTGTGTATCTTTATTTTTTGTAGAACTTTTTTTCTGTCATCCCCTTTATTAGCAGGCTGCCTGTGAAAACTGCTGCTTTTTGTTTATTTCTGTTAGCTTTTAATTTGCTGACTTTGTGACCCTTAAAAATTACAAAAATAATTTACTTCAAATTGTGTCAAATCCAGTGTAAATAAGCTCCGATAAAATAAGGTTTTGTGATGGGACCAGCAGATGGCATAGCAGTTACATCGCCGGATTCCCACATGGCCAACCATGGTTCTAGTCCTAAACTCAGAGACTTGAAACTCACACCGCACATGTATGTGTGCATACCCAAAATCCTGAGAGGAAAATGGAGGAGAAGGGATTGTGGTGTGGGCAGTTTCTCCTGAGGGGTGGTTTCTCGCTCTCTGACTCTCTGTCTCTCTCTGTCGCTCCGGCGAGTGAATGTGCCCTATAGCAAAGATCTCTTCTAAAAAAGAAAAGGAAAAGAAAATCCTGCTGAGTATGTGTTTGAGTGTCCAAGATCCCAGGAGGAGAATGAAGGAGAAGAGATCGTAGGGTGATTTCTCACGTTCCCTCTCACTGTTTTTATCTCTCTCTCTCCCTATCACACGCATGTCTTAAGGCAAAAAGTTCTCAAAAAAAATTTTTTAAAGATATTTTGTGAGACCAACCAGCAGATGGCATAATGGTTATGTCACTGGACTCCCATGTGGTCGACCGTGATTGGAATGCCGGACCTGGTGGCTTAAACTCACTCTGTGCGTGTGTGCATGCGTGCCCAAGATCCTGAGAGGAGAATGGAGGAGAAGGGATTGTGGCGTGGCCATCCCCCCGGGGGATGATTTTTTGCTTTCTGTCTCTCTCTGTCTTTCTGGTGATCACACATGCTCTGTAGCAAAAATCCTCTCCAAAAAAGAAAAAAAAAAAAAAAAAAAGAGGTTTTGTGGTAACTACTTTGTTACTTAAGGCACTTCTTGAGGAATTGGAGTCATGGCTATGCTAGCAAATGTAGACAGAGAGGGGGAAATCTCCATAGTTTTTAAGTTCTGCATTAAAGCTTTACTAAACTCCTTGCCAATTAACCCTGCTTGGGTTATGTCTTTTCTACTGTAAAACATTTCAACCATGGAGTCAGTACTTTAAAGAATTAATTTATTTATAAATTTTTCTTAAGTATTATTATTATTCATTAGTGTGTGTGTGTATGTGTGTGTGTGTGTGTGTATTGGTTAGAAATTATAAGACTTCACTGCTTACTAAAACTTAATGAGCACATTTTCTTAAAGTATTAAAAATTCCCCTCCAAAAATTGAGTCTGTGAGATTGTGACTCTAGGGCAGCTCTTTTTGAAGTCTTAAAAAAGCTGATAGGCTCTTTAACAGAATAATCATTGTAAATCTGATTTTATATTTGATTTTATTTGATATTTAACATACTGTGTTTATATTCTGGATAATAGTATCTACCTTTGTTTCAAAGATAGATTTGTTTATTTATTTGTTTATTGTTATTTATTTGTTTATTCATTTTTCTACTTACCATTCAACTCTTATTTCATTCCAGAGAGAGTTGTGGGTTTATATTATTAATTCTTTCTTTTTTTTTTTATTAGATTTTTTTTTTTTTGAGAGGTTTTTCACTATAGGGCGCGTGCGCTCGCCAGACAGACAGAGAGAGACAGAGAGACAGAAAGCGAGAAATCACCCCCCAGAGGGGATGGCCACACCGCAATCCCTTCTCCTCCATTCTCCTCTTGGGATCTTGGGCACGCATGCACACGCGCCCGGCGTGGGTTTTAAGCCACCGGGTCCGTGACACGAACCACGGTCGACTACGTGGGAGTCCAGCGACATAGCCATTACGCTAACTGCTGGTTCCCGAGTTATATTATTAATTATTTCAAATAATTTTGTTATGCTTTGACATCACCCATAGATGGATCTTTTCTGTTGTCATTTGAAGTCATGAGAAGTATGACCCCCTTTGCAATATAGAATCATGTGTCCTTCTACAGTAAGGTCTTTCTGGAATTTTATGCTTGCCCAAATTAGACAGTACCCAAATGATCTCCCTGTTTCTTGCCTAAAAATCCCTCCCACCTTATTGATATGGATCCTATGAAAAATAGAAACGGGAAAAATTTGGAATGGTATTGTGTGTGTTATTAGTGATCTGCCATTTTAAAATCCAAGAAATTTAATATGCCTTTAATTCCACTTACCACATGCTTTTGCTTCTTTTTCTTCCATTCTTTAGAACATATGCTCTTGATGGTAGCATGGCTATGACTGGTAGGAGGTCAGCTCCTTCCTTCTGTCCAGTTCCCAGCTGTGGCTCCCACACCTCTGACAGCCTCCCCTCTTTTCTCCTCAGCTATCCCAAGCTCCAGTGTCCTCCCTTCTGCTCCCAGAGATGTGGTTCCTGTCCTGGTTTCCAGTCGATTTGTTCGTCTGAGCTGGCGCCCACCTGCAGAAGCAAGAGGGAACATTCAAACTTTCACGGTCTTCTTCTCTAGAGAAGGCGACAACAGGTGGGTGCTACCACTAAACTTCAGCCTAATCCATCTTCTCTTCTAGTGTATACCAGAAGAGAAAGGAGCAGATGTCGAGAAGGGACTTTGGAGAATGTATGAAGTCTCTTTGAGTGAAATGGAGATGTGTTGTTTGTAAAAGCAAGATTCTTTACAGAATAATAATAATTTAGTCTGGCAAGTATCATGGTGGTTAATAAGGGCACTGGACTCCTACATGGCTGACTGCGGTTTGAGTCCCAGACTTATATGAAATTTACTTGGAAAAAAGAAAGAATGTAATATGAGTATATGGTATCTTTTTTTTAATTTTCTTGATTTTTAACGTGATAAAGGGAACCAGTAGATGGCATGGTGGTTATGTTGCTGGACACCCATGTAGTTGACAGTGGTTTGAGTCCTGGACCTGGTGGTTTAAAACTCATGCTGGCACGTGTGCATACATGCCTAAGATGCTGAGAGAATGGAAGAGAGGGATTATGCTGTGGCCATCACCCCAGAGGATGATTTCTTACTTTCTGTCTCTTTGTCTCTCTGACGAGTGCACACACCCTATAGCAAAAATCTCTCTTTAAAAAAAAAAATGAAGTGGTGGGACCAGCAGTTAGCATAATGGCTATGCCGCTGGACTCCCATGTAGTCAGCCACAGTTTGAGCCCTGGACCCGGTGACTTAAATTCATGACAGGCACAGGTGCATGTATGCCAAAGATCCTGAGAGGAGAATGGAGAAGGGATTGCGGCATGGCCATTCCCTCTAGGGAGTGATTTCTCACTTTCTGTCTCTCTGTATCTCTCTTTCTGGCAAGTGCACGTGCCCTATAGCAAAAACCTCTACAAAAAGAGAAATAATGAAGTGGTAAAAAAACAGAATTAGGGTGTACATCAAGATGACAAGTTATAAAAGAACCACTGTGGCCTGTTTATAATTCCGAATGTGTCATTGACATCACGTGATTTCAAGAAAAGGTCATGAATTCACTGTGCCTCACTTTACACTTTAACAAGGAAAGAGTAGTAATACCTCATTTATAAGGTTTTGTTAGAATTAAATCGTTGGGGCCAGCAGGGTGTGTGGTGATTGAGATGCTGGACTCCCACATGGGTGACCACAATTTGACTGCTCCCACATAGCTGACCACTGGTGACTTGCTTTCTCTCTCTCTCCCTCTCTCTCTGGTTTATGCATGCTTAGATACATAAAAGCTGTACATCTGATAAACAGTAGGACCTTTTTCAAATCTAGCCATTTGGACTTAAAATGGCATATTTTTAACCTCTAGGCTATAAGAACTACCCTTATCCCTATAGCTAGATTGGGGCCAACTTCCACTCAGAAGCCTTTGTAAGTTACTATGTATATGACTTAATACAGAAATTGTATTGTACTTAAATTGAATAGCATACGTCGCACTGTGCTTCCTTTCTCTCTCTCTCTCTCTCTCTCTCTCTCTCCTTCTTTAACCCTCTCTGGTCAAATTTTAAAAAGCAAATAAATAAAGTTAAATAAAATAATTCTTTAAAAAATAATAGTAATAAATAAAATTAAATAAGAAATTATTTTTAAAAGAGTTAAATTATTAATAGGTTGCATATGTAAAGGTCATGGCAGAGCGTCTAATACTGCCGTAAGTTGTTACTATGAAGACTCTTACTGACTATGTAAAAGTGACCTGAATGTGTCTGATTTCAAGATTATAATCTCCCTTACCCCAGTATTTTCACCACTGTAAGACACTGTATTTTTATTTCTAAGTCTAAGGTAGATGTCAGATAAGTTCTCTGTGGCAAGAAGCAGGGATTCATGTGCTAGTCTTCTAATCTCTCAAATTTGTGAATGCTTTAAACACATAGTGATTTTCAGAAAGCCTTTCAGATTTGAAAGGAATAATATAGGCTGGGCTTTGCCAGAGCGGCATTTAGTTCAGGATGCTGCTGGGTGATGATCAGGCAGTATAATATAACTCCTCTCACGCTGGGTCTCAACATGCTTTTCTTTCTACTTGGCAGCAAGGTTACATCCTTTTTAAGTTTCTATTTTCGTTTACAATTTGACCTGACTTTAAAATCAAAGGAAAAATAGACACCTATAGCCGTATGCACACTAAGACCGTCCGTTACTACGAAGAGGCAGGCCTCTGTTTTCCTGTCATCTCTGTGACTATTTAGCACTGCGACCTGATGCTATTTCATTTGTCCTTTGGATCTCAGCGGGTGCTGTTGTGAAAATATCCGGAACTCATTCTTGCCCCGTCATCTTCATGTTTTTACATAGATTATCTAGAGACACTTTAAATTAAAACCTGCCTAAAACTGTGCTCACTGTCTTCTCTTTAAATAGATTTTCCTCTCTTTTCGTTTTATGTTATTATTTTCCATCCAGTTGACCAAGCGAAAAAACCCAAGCCACACTTGGCTCCCCCTCAGCACCGCCATTTCTTTGTCAAGGCATGTGACGTCCGCCTCAGCCTCAGTGTGGCCCTGCCTGCTCTGTTCCCTGACTGATATTTCCATCATCCTGTACCTGAGCTCCGGAAATAGCTTCCACCTCCTACTCTATCCTTTTCACTGTCTGTGGCTATTTTTCTGAAATGCAGTTTGGATCACCTAGTCTACTGCTCAAAAATATGAATGCTATTCAATTTAAGTACAATACAATTTCTGTATTAAGTCATATACATAGTAACTTACAAAGGCTTCTGAGTGGAAGTTGGCCCCAATCTAGCTATAGGGATAAGGGTAGTTCTTATAGCCTAGAGGTTAAAAATATGCCATTTTAAGTCCAAATGGCTAGATTTGAAAAGGGTCCTACTGTTATCAGATATACAACTTTTCTATATCTAAGTATGTATAAACCAGAAATAATATCTGTGTCCCTGAATGGATAAAAGGAAAATAAACTCTGCCTCTCCAAATTACCATGAGAAGGAAGGAAGAAGACTCAGGTAGAGCATTCAGGGCACTGCACACAGGCTGAGTGGAGGGTCTTCGAATCGTGGTGCTTAGGGGCAGTGTGGAAAAGAGGCTGAAAATAAGGTTCAAGAGTGGTAAATAACAATAACAACAACCCCAATGATAATAAGTTGCTTTCTTTTGTGTGAACCATTGATTTTCATAACTACTCAGTTTTCTGCTTCTAATACAATTTCATCCTGTTCTCGTCTGTTGAAATCTTTCTTGTTATTCAAGTCCAAGCATCAGTTCTCCAGATCTCCTTGGCTACTCACTCTCATCATCCTACATTGCCCTACACCAACCTCGACGGCCTTTCCCCGATCTCATCTTCAACGTCATGTTCCCACCTCATTTTCCAGATTCTTCTTTTCCTATCTTCCATTTAAGATTCTGATTACAGAAAAGCTTTGACAACACAGGAACCTATACTTGATTGAACCTCTTGTGTTTTTGCTGCCTCTCTCCCTTCCTGTTTTTATTTGCTCATTATAAGGCTAAAATTCAGGGCTAGCAGGTGTCATAGTGGTTATAGTGCTGGACTCCCACATGGCCAACTGTGGTTCACATTCTAGACCTCATGGCTTAAAAATCATGTTGGGCGTGTGTGCATACATGCCCCAAATCCCAGGAGGAAAATGGAGGAGAAAGGGTGTAGCATGGCCATGCACCTGGGGGATGATTTCTTACTTTCCCTCTCACTCTCTCTCTGTCTCCATCAGGTAGGCACATGTACCCTAGGCAAGAACCTTACAAAGAAAAATGAAGGCTAAGATTCAATGATCAGGGGAACCAGCAGTTAGCGTAATGGCTATGTCGCTGGACTCCCACGTAGTCGACCGCGGTTCGTGTCCTGGACCCAGTGGCTTAAAACTCACGCCGGGCGTGTGTGCGTGCGTGCCCAAGATCCCGCGAGGAGAATGGAGGAGAAGGGATTGCGGTGTAACCATCCCCCCTGGGGGGTGATTTCTCGCTTTCTGTCTCTATGTCTCTCTCTGTCTGTCTGGTGAGCGCACACGCCCTACAGTGAAAATCTCTCAAAAAAAAAAAAAAATTCAATGATCAGTTATTAGAAACGCTTGCTGAAATACACCAATATTTTGAATGTTGTACTTGCTATTTTCTCATTTCACATTACTTGCTTAGCAAAAGAACAACTTGATGTTACTTTCTACCTATTCTTGCACTCTTTTGGCTGAATGTAGCTGGAGGAAAAGGTCCAGCTGGTCTGACTTATCCCACTTCATAGTCCTAGCTGTTAATCTTGTAATGCCTATTAATGCCACTGGTGATTATTCTACATCCATCAGTCATCCTGGCTCACACATGCTCTAATGATACTTCATGCCTCTTCCACTTTTCTTAAATCTCTGAGACACTTTCTTTCATTTCTGGTGGACTTGCTTTGAATTTCCTGGTATATCAGAAGGGGAGTTCTGCAAATTACCATATCTAAATTATCTATCCAAGTATATCTTTAAGCATATAACTTATCCTTCCTCAAACTCCTATGAAGGAATTATCTGCATTCTTAAATTAAGGCTCAGTCTTTACTTGTGCACTAGATCCCATCTTTTTTTTTTAAAAACAAACAAACAATTATTTATTTAACTTCATTTATTCATTGTTTAAAAAAAAATTAATTTGACAAATGAGAGACAAAGAGAGAAAGAGGGAAAGTGAGAAAGCAAGCCACCAAGTCAGGGACTTGAACCATGGTTCGCCATGTGGGAGTGTCCAGTGCCTTAACCATCATGCCACCTGTTGGTGTATTTCAGCAAGCTTTTCAAACCTTCAGCCCTTCCTTCCCTCTCCTGCGTTATCAGTGTCTCCCACTCAGGTGAGCCATGTCCAGCAGCAGACAAGCAATCGCTGTCATTTCTGCCTCAACATATTCTCTCTCAATCTCACTTCTTTCTCCTTTACCACTTCTTTCTCTGCTTCCTTGGTAGGAAGATTCCTTGACTTTCCTGACCTCACACCAACACCTTGCTTCATATATCCATTATTATTTTGTCTGTAGTATTTCACTGCAACTGCTCTTACAGA